TACTCAGTCATAAAAAAGACAAAATATTGCCATTTGCCACAACATGGATGCATCTTGAGAGTATTATGTTAAGTGAAATGTTAGGTGGGAAAAGGCAAGAAAAATATTTCACTCATACGTAGGATATAAAACAGAAAGCAACAAACAAACAAATAGTACAACCCTTACAGATACACACAACAGTATGGTGGTTACTAGAGGGGAAGGGGAGGTTGATAGGGTAAAGGGATTCAAATATATGGTGATGGAAGAAGATTAGAGCCTTTGCTGGTGAGCACAGAATGCAATATACAGATGTTGTATTATAGAACTGTACACCTGAAACTTATATAATGTTATTAACCAAAGTTACCCTAATATACTTAAATTAATATATTTAAAAGAGAAAAAAATTACGTTTTATAAGCTGTATGCATTTCTAGAGATAAGTGCTCTGGGCCTAATTGGAACAGATCCAACAAAAAACAATATTCAAGCAGAGAAAAGCAGCACCAAGGTTTTTGGCATTTGAGGGAGCTAGCAAACCCTTCAGTATTTACTAAGTATTTTAGCAAGCAGACTTTGGCTCCATTTGTGTCACAGTTAGATCCTGAGTCAGAAATGATTTCATTGATCTACCCTACTCTTCAGTTTTAATGCCTTCATTGATTGGGCAACTGAGATTATGTGGGAAGAATATCATAACAGTTAAAAACGAATGTTCCTTTGAAGTGTAATTTAAAAGTGCTGTTGAAAAATGTTTGTATGTCAGAGATATTCAAAGACTTTCTTTACTAATGTGAAGGATTCAGCTTTAATTACTCCTCCCATGATTACCAGGGTGGATGGAAGGTAGTCCTCCAGGTCAGGAATGTTTTTGAAATTATTGGGGTCACCTGGGATCAAACAGATAAATAGCACTAGTTCTTGAGAGGTCACTGGGTACCTCATAAAAAGGAATTTCAGGAAACCTGGGATTCCATGTAAAGGTCTGGGCACTTAGAAAATGATCCCTTGGGAAAGTCATGCCCAAGCCTGTAGCATGGGAATAGCCAGGGTTTCAGAACATGGCATCCCCACTTACTCTATGGAGTTCTTCTTTATCGTCTTTGATTTCTTCATTTGTAAAATGAGGATAACACCACTTAGAATAATTTACTTGATACACTTATTGTAAAGAGTAAAAAGACATGATGTCTCCTAGTGTGGTGATTGCAGGGTGGGTGGTAGATGCAGGTGGAAAAGGGCATATAGGGCATAAATGGTGATGAATAAAATAAAAAATACATTTAAAAATAAAATTGAAAGACAAACAAAAAAAGAGGTGATGTCTCTAAAAGGCTTAGTAGAATACCTGATACATAAAAGTTGCTTAACAAATATCTGCTCTGTTTCGCTGTATGAGAGGTAAGAAGGATATGGGGTGGTGGAGTGAGGGAAATAAGGGTTTTCCTTCCATCAGTCTGCTGCAAGGTAGAGTAAGTGCTTTTCTGTAACTCAAGTGAGAAACCTGCTCTAACGGGGCCCAGGGAGACCTAGGATGTAGCAAACCACAACCCCAAGAGGAGATGGGACTGACTGGTGGTAAGGAGTACAGTGCACACGTCACACAGATTGACAGGTTCTAACACTCCCTCTCTTACTTTCTAACCGTGTGCCTTTGGCTAAGCTATTGAACCTCTCTACTCTGTTCCCCTGGATGTAAAGTAGTGATAGTGATACCCATCTCACAGGGGGTGCAACGGACCCCTCTCTGCTTGGCTAACCCGTTTCGTTCATTCTCTGAGGCTGGATTCTCCTCTCTCAAGGGAGGGCTCTTTTCTCTTTTTAACTTCTTAAGTAAGAAATATTTCCTTTCCTCTCTTTGCTATACAAACCAGGAAGTCATTTTGATTTATATATTTTTACAATTTTCACCCTAATTGAATTTTCTCAGCTGAATGTACAGACGATTTTGTTTTTCATGACAGAAAATTTGTTTATAATTCATTCATATTCTCTTTCTCTCTACCACCTCCCCCCCACCACCTCCCCAAAAGAAAGTTACACAGTTTGGAATAAGCCAACAGTATGACTAATGCACTTCAGACATTCCCTAAAATTTTCACACAAGCTGAAAAAATTCTGCATTGTTTTGGGATACCAATAAGGACTTAGGACAAAATACTATTCTACCAGGGCTATGCACTGTGCTGGAGGTTCTCTTAAGCACAGCATGGCAACCCTACAAACACTTTACCTTAATTTACAGATGTGTGAATATACGTGAATATGTGTGCGTGCATATGTATGTGTATGTGTGTGCATGTGTATGCTCATGTGTATGTGTACGTGTACGTGAATGTGTATGTGTATATGTATAAAATCTGTAACCGGCAAAGTATAATCCAGGTTTCTTTTCAAAAGGAGCGACCAGCTCAAATGCACAGCTGGGTACGGCAGAAACACATAATTAGACAAATTGGATTTAAGAGTTACATAAGGTCTCAACTGAGCCGGTGAATGAGAAGCTGAATGAAACGCTGTGATTGCTGCTCTGGTGCCTTGAAAGAACAGAATATGTGGAAATGTGTGTTTGGGGCAAATAAAAGGCAATTACTGGGAGTTATGGGGTGTAGTTGGCATTCCATGAAAGTTAGACTATTCAATGTTTCACAGTGGGCTGTGCTGGGAATAAAATGTTGTCCATAGCTTAAAGGGGGAGTCTGTTAGAGATGTGCCTAAAAGGAAATATTTGACAAATACTATTTTGGAGTTATATTTTGGGGGGAAAAAAGGAAGTAGAAAAACTTACATAATATATAATGTCTCAATAGCTTTATAAAAATTCTTAGGGAATTTTAAGTACAAGGGAATACATTATATATTATTATTTCCCTTCTAGAAGTGAACCTTTCCAGCTAGAGCAGGTATATTCAAGAGAAGATAACAAGAAAAGTCTATAGTTTCTGAATTTTTCACCAAGAATACTTAAACTAATGACTACATATTGAAGATATGCCCCCTTATAGGATTAGGAAGCTGAAACTAAATTACCACTTTTTTCTATTTGCAAATAATCTTATTTGCAAATTTGTCTCAAGGCAACTGAATGAAAAGTAGTTATTCTTCTCCCTCAACAATCTCCCAGAAATAAATGGGACAAGAAAGCAATTGTCTGAGACAGTCTTATTTTCTTAAAGAAAACATTCCGTATTAATTGACAAAAGTATCTGAGTCCCCATGACACCAATGCTTATGGCATTTGGGGCTTGTCTCTCAGTGTGCAATTTAAAAATATATCCATAAAATCCTTGCCAATAATAATAACTTCTTGTCTGTTGATGCTGTCTATCCATTAAAATCTCTATTAGCAACCTCACATTTAGTTTGTTAAACCTTATAAAAAATGTTTTGAGCATCTTTAATTTGCAAAACACGTGCTAGAGACAGTGGCAAGTACAAAGATGAACAGACTGTCCTCCCTCACATTTATAATCTAGTGAGATATACAAACAATGGTGTTGTTGGACTTTGCCATGTACTTGATGGTTGTGCATCAGGACTTTTCATTTATTTTGATAAAGAAAATTATTTTAAAGAGTATATTTTGCTTGTGTTATCATTGGAAGTATGTTTTGCTTGTGTTATAATTTAAAGTGTGCTTTGCTGTGTTATTTAAAAGGGAAATTATTTTGTCACAGGTATGTCTTTGTAACCATTATGGTGCTAACATAATAACACTAGAGGCCCGCTGCATGAATTTGTGCACGGGTGGGGTCCCTCAGCCTGACCTGCGATCAGGGCCTACCAGGGCCGGCCGGCCGGGGGAAGGGAATGCAGGAGGTTTGCTGTGGGAGCACACTGACCACCAGGGGGCAACTCCTGCATTGACCATCTGCCCTCTGATGGTCAGTACACATAATAGCTATTGGCTGGTCATCCGGTTGTCTGGTTGTAAAGGTTGCTTAGGCTTTTATACATATAGATATCACATAATGCTATTAAGCTGATGATCAAATAACTATTTCTGCATTATTATGGACACAGTAGCTGGCAAAAAGTCCTGATTATAAATCAAATGGAGACTCTTAATGGCAAGTAAAAAAAAAAAATCTATGTAATCTGATGAGGACATATAACTACCAAGTTTTCTCATGTTTTACAAAACTATAAATTCTTGTCAATAGTTGTCTATGGAGTTATCAAATTACAAATGTCCTACTTGGAAAAGTAGCACCCTCCCCCCATTTATTTACATATGAGAAAGCTTTTTGAAGTTGTATGTTTGCTAAGGATATAGCAACTGAGATAATCTAAGAGGAATGAAGGTTGGCAGAAGAACAAATGTAATTATGTGACTAGCTTCTGCTTCTCAGCTAAAACTCTCTTCCAGAGAAAGAAGGTAGTCTCACACATCCTAAAAACTTTCAAAAATGCCAGAAAGGGCAGGGGTTCAGTATAACTTCCCCTAAGTTAAGTGAAAGCTCTTTATCCTTGAGCAGGTATCCTGATACACCCTGACACAGAGAAGTATGTTTTCTATAGTTCTGTGAATGTTTATTGAATTTAGGTACTTTATGTATTTTTCCAGGCCAACAACCATCATCAATCCTTCCTTCATTCCAATGACAAACAACAGAGAAATGCCTTAAATACAATACATTTCATTTGGTCTGGTCACTAGTAATTTTGTGATATTATGTCTTAATTCAGAATTCATTAACACAAAAAATAACAACAAAGAGAATGAAAGAAATAATCATTTGGAAGAACTCATTTATAGTTAAAAATCATAGCTCATCCTTCGGTGTGCTCCTGACTTTTGTTCCTATCAAGATGAGTAATGTTGAAATAGTGAATATTTTCTATTGTGTTAGAACGAAAGAGTTGTTAGTTCTGAACTGATAAAAACTTTTCTCCAAACTGAGTATTTATGGGCAGAATTTCTGGTTTGTAAAAACCAAACTCAATGTTAATCTTATCAGAGAGACTAGGAATAAGAACAAAACCACAGACAAATTAAGTAAATAGAGACTTACTGTATCACGTTGCCTGTTATCTTTCCCTGATATTATCAAGAAGTAGTTCCATGTCAATAGTAACAACAACACCAGCGGTATCATGTAGAGCTCAAAGTTCCACACAACAAAGAGGAAGAGCTGGAGGAGAGAGAAGAGAGAAAAAAAGATGAGTCAGCTCTAAATTTCATTAAATGGACTCTCTTATCAATACTCCATTTTAAAACACACACACACAACAAACAAAATGTTTCAGAATGGAAAGATTTATCTTGAAAACAAAGCCTTAAAACTTGGTAGGCATTTTTCTAAAAGCACAAGTGACCTCTGGAAAGTCACAGGTAAGAGTTTTACTTTGTTTCATTTCTATGAAGAAAAAACTGATATCATTACATTGTCCATGAGGCAATTTTAATTTTTCTCCTTCAGTGAAATTATTGTTAGGTTGAACAAAATAAAGTAAAAAAAAAAGTCAGCAAAATGAGACTACATTGTCAGAAATAGCTGGTCTAGCTGCCTTGATAATAAAGAAAGAATCCCTATTTAATATCAGGGACTTTAAAAAAAATCTCACTTGGATAATACAATGTCACAAGCATAATAGGCAGATGAAAATACCAAGTCTATACAAGAGAGCCTCAAAGATTTCACATTATGAATAAAAGCACTGCTACCAACAAGTGTAAAAAAAGGGTTGGCTTACCATTCAGCATTACCATAGAAATCAAAAAGCTCTTTTAAAAAAAGAATAATTTTGCCAGAGAAACTTTTTAAATGTCTATTTCTATTATCTTGTAAAACTACCTACTTCTCTAAGTATATAAATGATTTTTTTTTAAAATTATGAGACACCTTAGATTAAGAACTCACCTAGGTGGGCAGAAGGAACCATTCTAAGAGCATTTGCCTTGCAAATAACTAGCATTGGCTATACAGTGTGACTCTCCCACATCCCCACCAGGCTCTTATAATGCTGGACAGATCAGTGACGTTTCTGGGTCTGTGGCAGCTGCTGCTACATTAAGGTCCTGTTAAGTCAGATGGTAGCTGAGAGCCAGATCCTACTCCTGAGGCTAACTAGCCTTATACTTTTTGGTGCCATGCATATTTTCCCTTTAGTTTCTTCCTCTGTAAAACGGGGATGACAAGAGGATCTACTTGAGAGGTTGTCAGAATTAAAGAGCTGAAACATTTTAAGGATTTAACACACTGCTTAGCATCCAGTAAGTGCTCAAAACACATTATTGTGTAGTGAGATCAATACCTTACAAAACTCAGAAAGTTAATTATTGACTAAGGTCCTCAGGTAATGCATATTTTAATAGTGAAAACTAGAAAGTCATCTGCTTGCTAGGATTTAGCTGCACCATAGTAGAACTGGGAACTTGAGCCAGATGGTAACACAGACACCTTGCATTTGATAGACCTGAAGGGGTAGGAACTTTACTTTGAGAACACTAGTGTCGGGAACAACAGCACAGGCCATTTGCAGTCTTCTTAATAAACCTGAGCAAGTCTACAGTCTATTCAAATGGCAGAGAAAAAGAGCCTGTGTGGAGAGGTGGAGGGACAGGCCCCTAAAGGTCAGAAGACAGGTTCTGAGCCTTGGAAAGTCACTCTACCTCACTGTTTTCATTTCTAAACAGAGGTCTATAGATCTAACCACCTCTAACATACTTTCCCTAATATTTAAAGTGACTTTATGATATTACTGTATCAATCAGGGTTTTTCAAATGTTACATTTTGAAAATTATATATTTTACTGAATTATTTGATATTCATGAGCCAGATAGACACCAAAAGCATAAATAATGCTTTAGTAACTCAAGAAATAAATTTTGGACAGAATTACATGGTAACTATAGATTCAAGTTCCTGAATAAAAAAAAAATGCATCAAATATGAGCCATATTTTTTCTTTCACCAGAAAAGTAGAAAGACTTCCAGAGAAGGAAATATTTCCCTTTAATTTTTGAAATTGATACAATATTTATAAAGATGATATAATTATAATTGATGACTATGATTCTATTAAAATGTATTTTTAAGAGATAATTATTTATTCAGGTAGTGAATTAAGGCAAATTTGGCCGTCATCAACACATGTAAAGAGAAATTATTTTTGGTTAGAATTCATACTAATTCTTTACACATTCATCTATAAATTTTAGGTAATCACTAAAACATAAGCTCTTATGGGTAGGTATTAATACATTTTCATTCTCAGTTTTATCCCCAGAGCCTAGAACAGTAGTGCTTGAGGCACAATGGGTACTCAATAAATATGTTTGCTGAATTAATGAATAAATGGATCCTGGGTTTCCAAGTCATTTAACATAAGTCTTCTTAATTATTTGTATTAGTAAAGGTTCTGTAGAGCCACTGTATAAAATCAAGTGAATTCAAGAAAATATATAAAGAATTATAACCTGGAATGCCACTAACAAATTTCTCTCTGAGGCACATAAAGATTCTCCTATCCTTTCAATGCAGTCAAAAACTGTCTTGTGTATTATGGACTGAACACAGTCTTTCCTACAAGGTTGCTTTTTCTGGGGACAGTCACTTGACTCACTGTGTTTTGGCCTCATATGATTCCATTGCTAAGTATTGCCAATCCTAATAATTGTTAACCTGTTGAATATATCCCCTTGTAATGTCTACTCATTCGTGATAGAGGCCTGTTGTTGCTCAGAATAAATTTCCTTGTAGTGTCCATGTATTGGTGTTAGATGTAGGCTAGATGTGCATAGAATAAACTTTCTATATGATAATCCTATAAGAAACCAAGACATTTGTCATGTTAGTTTCTTCTCTAGGCTCAACATCACTAGTTGCTTCAACTACCAGTTACAAAGTGTGGTTTCTGACATTCCTCATAGCAGATGTCTTCTCATCACATCCAAATCAATACATCTGTAGCTTTCTTAAACTATAGCACTCAGAACAGACACAGCACTTCTCATGAAAACCATAGGTTATTGATATGCCCTCACAACATGAGCACTAGAACTCAGGATGGAGAAAAATATAGGAGGGAGACAAAGGAAGAAACTGCATTAGTTTTATGGATCAGGCAGTGCAAAAATAGTTTCTTTCCCCATTGTGTGTTCTTTGAGAATCTACTGTTTAGGTAACTAAGCAGGGAGCACATGATGTTGAAAATGTCTTTTAAAAAAACAAGTGTATACTCTGAAAACTATGATACAAAGAAGAAATGAAATAAGACACAACCAAATGGAAGAATATACCTAGCTAATGGATTGGAAAGATTAATATTGTTAAAAATGTCCTTATTATATGAAATAAACAGATTCAATGCAACACCTATTAAGACACCAATGGTATTCTTCTCAGAATTAGAACAACTAATCCTAAAATATACATGGAACCACAAAAGACCCCAAATAGCCAAAGAAATCTTGAGGAAGAACAGAGTGGGAGGTATCATACAACCTGATATCAACCATACTACAATAATCATTATAGTATGGTATTGGCAAAAAACAAATACACAGACCAATGGAATAGAGCCCAGAAATAAATCCCCACTTACATAGTCAATTAATATATGACAAAGGAGGCAAGGATACACAATGAGATAAAGATAGTCTTTTCACTAAGTGGTGGTGGGAAAACTGGACACGTAATTGCAAAAAAAAAAAAAAAAGAAAGAAAGAAAAGAAAAAAGAAAAAAGAAAAAAAATTGATCATTTCTTTCACTATATACAAAAATAAATTCGAAATGGATTAAAGATTTAAATGTCAAACCTAAAATTATAGAAGGAAACCTAGGCAGCAAACTCTGACATCAGCAATGTCTTTCTGGATATCTCTCCTCAAGCAAGGAAAACAAAAGAAAAAATAAACAAATGAGACCAAATCAAACTAAAAGTTTTCCACAGTGAAGGAAACCATTAACAAAATGAAAAGACAACCTACTGAATGGGAGAAGATTGTACATTAGTGCAGTGTGGATATTCCTAAAAAATGAAAAATAGAGCTGCCTTATGACCCAACGAGTCCACTTCAGGGTATACATCTAAAGAAAAAAGCCACTAATTTGCAAAGATGCATACACCCCACCCCCACCCCCATTCATTGCAGCATTAATAGTAATAGCCAACATATGTAGAATCAGCTTGGATGTCCATCAGTTGATGAATGGACAAAGAAGATGTGGTACACATATACAGAAGAATAATATTCAGCAATAAAAAGAATGAAATCTAGTAATCGGCAACAACATGGACGGACCTAGAGGGTATTATGCTAACTAAAATAAAGTCAGACAAAGACAAATACAGCAGGATCTCTCACGTGGGGTCAGTAAAACAAAATAAATGAATACACAAAATAGAAGCAGACCCATAGACATAGAAAACAAGCTTATAGTTGCCTAAGGGGAAGTGATAGTGGGATAGGAATAAAAACATAATGAATACATACATACATACATACAAGGTATTTGAATAAGTTCTAAATACAAAGACATTTTTTCTTTCTGAATATCCAACTGCAGACTTTAAAAGTTCATATGTTAAAAATAAAATGAATTTATTGAACACGTATTATGTGCTAAGTAATACTGGGTGTTCAAATTAAGAAATGACACGGTCTCTAGTCTCAGATTGCTAAGAATCACTAAGAAAAAAAACAATCGTTCACTATAGTATTAGTGATATTTCTCATACTTGGTAGTGGGTGGGTGATCTCCTAACAAAGAGAGCTTTTAGAGAAAGAAGAGCATTGATTAGTTAATTCTCTCCACACTGAGCTTCTCTTCTCCTTGGGCCCCACCTGCACTAATATTGATCCTCTCCTCTTTCTTACAAAAAGCCAAGATAACTCTTAGGGCCACAGGAGAAAGGGGCAGCTCGGAGAAAACCCAGGAAGGCCAAGAAAATGCAAGATGTCCTTGATTATACTTTTTCATAGATTTGGATGGGTGGGTGGATGGGGGGGTTGGATATAATGGGCTAAAATGAGGCTAAAAAATCAAAGATATAAAACAAAATCACTGACATATCCATAGAATAGATAAAAACCATAAAATGCCTAGCATTTATCCTGACCCAATACTTTCAGAACCCCCTTTTGCCTGTATGGGACATGGAAAGAGAACTTGATGATTCTAAAT